ATGGAATGAGACGGATTTTTGTCCTGGCAAGAAGGACATGTGTGAGCTGCAAAACTTTTTTGCATTTACATTTTGAAAAAAAAAAATTCACCTCATAAAAGCACAAAAAGAGCAGTTATAAATATGTGTGTATGTTTGAAGGAGAAACTCCACACCTGCATTCCTTCTCAAGAGCTTTGGATTCATCTGTGCAGTAGAAGAACTTTCCCTTGAAGAGCTGCACGGCGATAACAGCAAAGATGAACATGAAGAGGATGTAGACAATGAGGATGTTGAGCACGTTCTTCAGAGAGTTCACCACACAGTCAAACACCGCCTGAAGAAGTGTACGCACACACACACGCCAACACAAAGAAAACGATGTGTTCATATAACCCTGAGTGCAAAATTTTTCATCCCCCTTGGTTTCTGTGTGAAATAAAATGATTTACAGGTTATCTGTAACATAGACATCAATCTTCATTTTAGCATGGACTACATATTACAGTAATTAAATAGGAGTGTTTATTTGATTTATTATCATGCTTAAAAGTTTGCATCCCTCCTGATATTCTACAGTTTGTTTATTTGTGCCTCATTAATGTGTCTAATGACTTAAAACAATCCACAATTTCTTTGTCAACTAAGGAATAAAATACGAGGCATGCTGTTATAGGAAAATAATCAAAGACACGGTAGTGTGATGCAGCCCATTAGGGCGTGGCTTTACTGTTACTACCCTGAAGTTGATTATTTTCCAATAACTGCATGATCTGAAATGTTTTATTCCTCTTGTACCACAGCAGTTTGTCTACAATTAAATTTTTTACAAGTGACTGTTACAAAGCTTTGACACTGGAGACTCCTTCTAAAAATGCTAAATAATCATCTCTTCACAGAAAACGTCACCATATGAACAACTACACATTTAAAAAAAAAACATTTATGTGGAGTGTCTGTCATACAAGCCCCTGTGTAAGTTATTACTATAGAAATTATAACATTTTAATGATGATAGTATTAAAATGAGCATATTACTATAAAACTTGCAGTAAAACTACTGTCTGAGCTTATATTATAGACAATTAATCAACACGTTTTTACCAGTCAGAATCCAGCGTTCATTAGAGTTGTGGTGTAAGTCTTATTTAATGCATAACAATTTCAAACAGGCTCAAACTCTCAAGCAGGTTTAAAAAGATAGAATGGGATAGCATCACCAACAGCAAAAACCACCGAATTAATTAGTGGCTATTCGTTAGTGACTAGTTTGCGATTGTTGAAAGCCACTGTCTTCCATCCAGCCAAACAAAAGACAGCTGCCTATTAAAAAGCTCTGCCCACAATATAATCTCTTTTTTTAAGCCTAAAATACATGTCCTGCCTCTGTACTGTCAAGGCAACATTGTGTGTCTAACATGTTATTTTCTATATGATCATATTTCATGTTGTAAAGAAGAGACATCCACCAACACCACTATTCACCTTTTACCTTTAATTATCTGAGATGTGTGAAATACAGTGTCTGGTACTTCTGCCAGGACATCATGTTTGAATGTCTGCCTTTGTCAGATTTTATCAATTACCTTTTGTAAGGCAGAGATAAGGGCTGGTTTGGAGTATCTGAGCACAGAATTGATAAGTGAATTACACGATATTACCATTAACAATTTCTAATTCCGCTTTTCTCATGAGGCTACATGCCTCTGAATGATTGCACTGAAAGAGCAAAGTCTAATGCATATTACAATTCCAGCTGAAGAGAACTGACTAGCTTTCGGAGAACTGCTCTTCGATGCAAGGAGAAGATAAAGAACAGTATAGTATGGATTGAACACAGCATAAGCGCCTTGTATAGTACCTTGAGTTTAGGTAGCCTTTTGATAGTCTTCAGAGGTCGGAGCACTCGGAGGACCCTGAGGGACTTGATGGTGTTGATGTCCTTGCCTTTGGTCCCTCTGTGTTACGAAATCAATAAGTTAATGCACACAAGTATATAAGATATAGCCTATAGAGACAGGATGCATGCATCCTCCTCCATAACACACACACGCACACACACAGATCCTTGAATCTTTGGTTAGTAAATGCATGCACATAAGTTAGGAATAATTTCCATGTAACCAAAGTGAAAATCAATGCATTATTGACAAGGACAAGGATGGTCCCTTTGTGAAAGCAAATTAATTCACCCAAACATTCAAGAGATTAATATTAAAGAAAGGAAGAAAAAAAAGATGAATTACAAAGTGTAATTCTGACACATCTCTCAGGATGTAAAAAGAAAAAATGCTGAAATTTAATTTTGTGAGTGATAGGTACTAGAATGACATCTCAAGGTATGGCCGAGTTAGCTAGTTTTAACAAGTGAATTTATATTTTCCTCTATTAAAATTGTGACACTAACCCATAAATCAATCATTTAGAATAAGAGAAGTAAAAGTGTAATTATTCCAACATTAAAGAAAGCCAGTTAAAAAAGATATAAAGAAGAAATTAGTAAAATGTGGGGAGGGAGGTGGAGGACTATGTACAAGCAGGGTGGTCTGACTTTAACCCTATTAGACTGTTGTATTTATAGAATGGTTGCTATTTTTTCCAATTTCATTAATGTGGATCATTTACTTCCATTATAAAACTACCACATAGCTTGTCCTGCCAACTGGTGCACTGCTTGCTCTATCATTTTTTTTCTGAGTGTACAGATCAGATTTATAATTTAGGCAAGAAAAATACAAGTAGATAATGAGGCAGTGTGTACTATTACACTGTAGGTGAGGTTATTATAAAATTTAATGTTTAAGCATGATCATGCAAAACACAAATGTATACAAAGAGTAAATGGGTCTAATGTGGGTCTAATAGGGTTATACATGTGCATGGACACCTGCTGCCCAGAGGTAGCCTTCATTTCCCTGAACATTACTGGCATAATATAACAATTCATAATCAACAAAAAAGTGCAAAAAGCCACTGCTACATTTCTTGTCCTCTTATGCATGTATAGAAATGAAAAAAAAAAAAAACATTCAGGCTCTGTTGTTACACTTTTTGTTGGTATAACAGGTGTAGCATAGCCCAGCATTGTGAATGGCTTGATCATTTGTACTCTCCCATGAGGAGTTACATTAGGGGTAACACACTGATCAGTCCTGTACACTCCTGCGTGTCAAAGATCAGCTCCTATTCTCCCATTGCCTCCACAGGTTCCACCCATCACGTTTCTAATACGGCAATTCTGATTGGTCCGAATCTGTTGATTAATTTTATATAATAGCAACTATAACAATAGTGCGAGCTGCAGGCACATGGGGGACCCATAATCTAAGACTAATAATAAACAGATTTTAAAAACATGTTATTTAACAAAGAAAAATGTATAATTGCTGATCTGGTAAAGGAGTCTCTAGTGCCAGCTCTTTGTAACTGTCAGTAAGTTTTTGGCCATATGAGACTGTTTAGGATAGAGGACTTTGGTTTCTCGGAACATGACAAGAGACACTCAGAGACACTTTTGTCTACTTCAAAAGAAAGAAAACAGAATGGTGAAGAAATTACTGTTTATAGCTTTTATAATGTAAGTGATAAGAGGAACCAACTTGCTTTATGGATGTTTCACAACATTAAACATAACTATAAATGGATAAAAAGTACAATAAGTCATTCTTTCATTAACAAAAAAAAAAAATAGTTGGTGGCAAAAAGCTGTGGTATAAGAGACACTTATAAAACACTTCAGAACATGGTGGTGACAGTAGCTTTGTTTCACACCACCCTATGCTTTATTCCTTACCACAGAGTGATTGGACTGCTCCAATCAGATTTCAGTATTAAACCATGCTATATAACATTTTGCTTCTAATCCCTAATACTATTTCTCTGATAACTGTTCAATTGCTGAGTGTCAGATTAAATACATTTTTGAGTATCAGTTGTTTATCATTATTTTTAAAACAACCAATGGTAATGGTACTCGCAATTTAATAAATGCTCCGGTCTGTGAAGTCTGCTTTAAAAGAAGTGATGCGTTTCCTTTGCAGGCAATGGCAGTAATAGTATCATAGCACTGCTTATACTACGTGGTATGTATGGAGTCTTAAAGGGCCAGAAGGAAAGTAAAGGGCTTCATCATTGCTTATGTGCGATGGGGAGCAGTGTTGGAAAGGAAAGGTCACAGGGTTAAAGGGTAACTATAGAGATTAAGACTGCCCCCACCTGGTCACGCTTTGTTGTGATCTGATAAGGGAAAGCAAATGATACAAAACATAAAATGTGCACATACACAAAGAGTACAGAGACAAAACACAGAAATGCATAGACGTAAGCAGCTTTACAGATAAAGAATAAGCATTAGAAGCAGACACAGCTGTAGAAAGAGAATAAAGGAAACAGAAGTCATACAGAAAAACACTTAGCACCAACAGTAGTTACACGAAGCATAGAGTACAATGAGACATTTACTAAATTGATTAAATGCACAATGGAGTGAGTGTTATTTGATTTTGATCTAAAAAGCAGGTTATGTGGTTACAGTTCTGAAACAGAGCAACACGTACAATCTGTGCACAACACAACAACAGAGCAAAACAGAGCAATCTGTGCACAACACACATACACAGTGTTCATTCCTGGTAAACCTCCTTGCATGTGACCTTTCCAGCAGAAATGATAATGATACTACCAAGCCACTGAAAGGACAGGGTGTAATTTTTTAGGTAAAAATCTCATGCACATGAACTATCAAGTGCTCACAAGATACTATCTGGATATTATCACTGATGTATACATTTTCTATATCATGATCCCTTCTAGCTATTCTAGAACAACCTCCAAGTCTACAGATTCCATATAGAAACCTCCCACAATTTTTGGATAACTGCTTGTAGTAATCTTGATTTGAGTAATCTAGCAATGAGTAATCTCATTTAGCTGACGCTTTTATCCTAAGCAACTTACATTTGAGACAAGATAGAACTGAGCAGTTGTTAAGGGCCTTGCTCCAGAACCCAACGGTGGCAGATTGGTAGTGCTGGGATTTGAAGTCCTGACCTTCTGATCAGTAGGCTAATGCTTTAACCACTGAGCCACCACTGCCAGGAATATTTCTAGAAAATCCATCAATGCACCCATCAATACAAATACCAACTGACTTCATTTTATTGGAGGTATTAAAATGATAAGGATGGTTTGGGTCTCTTGCAAAGTAGTTACAGCAACAGAGTCTCCTGGTTTTTCGCCTCTTGTATCCAGGGCCTTTAAGATTAAATAAACATCTTCTTTTTCACATGTATGCCATTTTCTTGAACGTAACCTGAGCTTCGCAACTGGAAAAAAAAGTGGTCTATATTGCTGTACAACAAAACAGACCGTTAGACCTCAAAATGCATTTTAAATGTCTTTCGGTAATAATGTATCCATGACGACTGACAAGCGTAAATATGATGTCTTGAGACCTAGCTAAAGGTATACTTCTATGCAAACTTGCAAATATATATTTAGCTAAAGGATAACGGCAGGATAGAACTATTAGGCATTTATTTATTCATCAGTCATTCACCTTCAGTAACCAGCATCCTGGTCAGAGGGAATCTACAGTCTATATGAGAAACTCTGGTCAAGAGGCAGGAACACACCCTGGATAGGATGCCAGTCTATTGCAAGGCACCATGCACACACATTCACACATTCATTCACACCTACCAATTTAACGTAGCCAGTCCACCTAAAGACATGTTTTTGGAAGGTGAGAGGAAACCAGTGAACCCGGAGGAAACCCATGCAGACACAGGAAGAACATGTGAAACTCCGGAAACCATTTCAGGTTTAAACACAATAGTGACTGGAGCACACATGATAGTATCTGGAGGTAATATTTGCTTCTCACTTAATAGCATCTGGTCTGCACACGATAATATCTGGTATTCACCTGATAGTATGTGGTGCTCACCATAAAAAAATTATACCATGTCCTTTCAGTGGCTCTGTATGATACATAAAACCAATTATAAAACCTATTACTTTTGCTTTATGCTAATTGCAATTACAATAAAAATCTCATGCAATCGACATCAGTTTTTGTTAATTTACAGTGATGATGAAGTCACACATCAACAATATAAATGATGTTATCTGTGATAATCAAAGTGGAAACCAGGCTGTGGATGCTTGATGAAATTAACACTATGAATGAACGTCACACACCAGATGGCAGTGTGGTGGAAACACAATGAAAAGACACAGGGTTGCTCATGTAGCCTGAGGTTAACACTTACTAACCCATGCACTCAGACACACACACACACACACATACACACACACACACACACTCACACATATATATATAAGCATCTAGAGAAAACAGGCAGTAACAAATGCATACCCCATGAAGCTCCTGAAAGCAACACAAACAAGGAAAGAGAAAGGAGAAGGCACAGTAAAGACAGAGAAAGGCAGAAAGAGCGGGAAAAAGCCAAGAAAGGACATGATCGCTTACTATGAAAATAACAGAAACATATGAAGAGGCAGAGTTCTAGCCACAGCAGTGTACTTTCAGACAAAGGAAGGAAGCAAAATGCTAAAACAAAATGAGAGGCACACATTCTACCATATGCTTAGGCAGAACAAAGGTTTCTAATCCACATTTAAGCCATTAGCTGTCTCGTGAGAGTGTCTTGGGGACCGACAGCTTACGATACACACAGCTTTCAGCTAACTGAGTGCTTTATATTGCTTTCAGGTCTCTCTCCCCTTTGAAAAGCACCTCCACAACACTAAGAGGATTCCGTCCATATTTAAACCAGACCTCATCAAATCACACACACTTGATTAATGCTGTAAGTGTGAATGTGGTATGTGGGTGAGGGTATTGTTATGTATACAGATACATTTTTGTGTTAGGTTTACCTGCTGCAGGAGCATAAAAAGATGTGAGCTACGTGATTTGTGTGTGAGTTGCCATTTTTTTTGCTACACAACAGTAATTTTCTATGTACAGTATGTCTGTGTATTTGTTTGTGTTTTTGAATGTATGTGTGAGTATGTGTACATTTATATGAGTATATTCGTGTCTATGAAAGTATTTGTGAGTATGAGAGTTAATGAGCATGTGAACGTATCTGTTTGCATGTGAGTGCATTTGTTTGTGACCCCAGGTAACATCACTGATGATGTGTCTAGATGCAAGATATATGTTTGAAATCATCAGTCTGGATCAGGCAGTGACAGCCAGGAATAAACTGGTTGACTACCAAGAATAGAGTGGTGACAGCTGGAGAGACAGGGGAAAGCTGAGAAAGATATCAACTGTGAGGCAGGTAGGGTTAGCGACCTGACCACCATCTTCTGATAGGAACACCCACAAGAAGCTACAGATCTACTAATTGAGAGATAACCCAGTTGGCCATGCTTTCTGAGTGAGAGGGATGGCATTACTCTCTCTCCTGTCAATCCCAGCAACACTAGTCTGTTGTGGGCATCTGTGAGCTCATGTATGTGGAAGAGGGTTGATAGTGGTTTTCTCCTGCATGAGCAGCACTTGCAGTTATGTAGCTTCACAAGTCTGAGAGGAAGCATGTGTTCACCCTCCCGGTTGGTAGATATCATATGATAAGGAAGAGCTGGCTGGTGGGTGGGAATTGCAAACAAAATAATGATATTAATAATATTAAACACATATGGATCCATACCCCATAAGCTAGTTGAGGTGGCATTGGACTGGCACTACAACCCAGGGAATACCATAACCTCATCCTGGACTACTACACAGGGTGCAGTCTCAGAATCTGGCATACACTTGAGAAGGGGAACATTACCGGTTGCAGCAGTAATCAATTTTCAATTTTCAATCAATTTTCAGTGATCCTGTTTGAGCTCACCATAAACATCTGTTTGGCAAAATCTGTTGAGGTGCAGTGTAGAGACCCACTGATGAAGTGTGGGATTAGTCAACCGCCCATCAGGGCCTTCATGGATGATCTGACTATGACAACAACATCTGTCCCAGAAAGCAGATGGATTCTGAATAGCTTGGAGGAGCTGATCCCATGGGCCCACAGAGCTTCAAGCCAGTAAAATCCAGATCCCTGGTTTAGAATAGAGGAAAGATCACCAACAGGTACCACTTCACTCTTGACAGCACTGTGATTTCAACGATTATGAAGTACTGGGAGGGATACAACATCCTTTCAGGCAACAAAGCAAGAACGGGAAGCCTGATTATCTGCAGTAGACAAATCAGGCTCACTGTCTAAGTCCAAGACCTAGATATACCAACATGGCATTCTTCCAAGGATCCTGTGGCCCCTTCAAAATAATCAAAAGCTTTGGGGAGAAGGGAAGTACGTTCCTGTGGAAGTGGCTTGGACTGCCTAGAGACCTGAATGGCATTGTCCTGTATGGCCGTAATAAATGAAATTCAAAAGTCTGAATGAAGAATTCATGATGACCCATCCAAGGAAGGTGCTGCAATATTGGGAGTCCTGTGACCCAAAGGTTTCCCAAGCTGGTATAAAGGTGAGGATAGGAAGTGGTGGATGTGCCAGGGTGTATCATTAGATGTGTGTGTTTGAAAAAAAGGGGTTATGTGAGTGACTGTATTTGTTTGCATGTATGTGAGTATATTTGTCTGTGTACCTGTGTGTATTTGTGTCTGTTTTTTACGTATATGATGATATGTTTGTGTGCATTTGTTTGTGTATGTTTATATAGATTTGTACATATGTATAATTTTGCTCATGTGTGTGAGTCAATTTTGTCTGAGTGTGTGTATATGTCCATGCTCCCTGGCGAGAGAGCGATTTCAACTCATTTGAGTAAATAAGCATGGCCTCTTGTGCAGTGGTGAAAATTAAAGCTAAGATGGGGAAAATCTGTGTGCCTTGGTTAGAGTCTGAGCTGCTTCAGAAGTGCTGCTAAGTTTGGCTCCACTTTCCTCTGGGAGGCACAAACAGATATGACAGTAAACCAAAAGAACTAGCTCAGGTGTGCGTCAACAATACACATAATCCCCAAACACATTTAACACTCTTTCTTTCCACAGGAAGCAGCAGACACACACCCATCCCGCTACTCTACCACTCCATCTCCCACCAGCCGCTGGAGAGGCAGCAAGTCAAATCTTATTCTCATCATTTTCAGCCCAGTGCTTTTTGCTGGATTGAAGTTGACAGACTGGATTTTCTCCTTTTAGCTGCTGCTCTGACAAATCTGGAAAGAAGTTTGTACTCACGAGCAGGCAAAAGCCACCAGGGCACCGCTGACCACAATAAAGTCTAGAATATTCCACAGGTCTCTGAAGTAGGAGCCCGGGTGGAGAAGCAGCCCGAGGTCAATCATCTAAAAAAAAAGTATTACAGAAAGGTTAAAGGTGACAAAGAATCAGGGTCGTTTCCCTTTATAATATCCATTGTAAGAGATACAACATATGATAAGTTGTAATATTTGTGTATGTATGTAATATGTGTATGTAACAGTGAGCTTTCTGTGTAAATCATTGTCAATAATACCTTTATCACCATTTCAAATGTGAACACACCAGTGAAGATGTAATCTAAATATTTTAGCACCTGGAAAAAAGAAACAGAAGCATAAACAATGGCAAATAATTCCACATTCAAATTCAAGTGAGCTACAAATCTGCTTAATGCTATAAGCTTACATTTTTTCCCTAATAACATAAAAAAACATATGCACTGCAATATACTAAGCATGGAGTTTAAACCAAATATTGGCAATCTGATGCAATGTACTTGATAAACATTCCTATTTGGATTTAAAGCTTGCATCTTTTACCCCTAGTGAACTTTCCCATAAGAACACATTGGCATCAAGGCCAGGCAAAGGACTTGGACTCACACTGGCCTGGAGGAATACTGATTACAGAGCCTTGCATAAGTATTCACCCTTTTTAAACATTTCCACATTTTATAGTGTTACAGCCTTGAACTGAAATGGATGTCACTTGGATTACATCATGAATGTACACAAAATAGCCCACAAGATTATAAGGATGGAAAAATCTATATAGTTTGCAAAATTAACAATAGGTAGCAACCCAACACTGCTCACTACCCTGAGAACACCATCCCCACAGTGAAG